CGGACGTCACCATTCATGAGACGACTACACCAGGCGCGTACAAATACGCCGGCCTCTCTCTCCTCCTCCTTCCTTCTAGCTTCTCCTTTCTCAGCCAGCCAGCCATTAACACTCCCTTTCGTCTCTTCTCTTCTTTGATCAAAGCTTACTTGCCCGTCGCCGGCCGACATTCTCTGAAACAACCTCGCGAAATCAACCAGTACCGTCTCGTCAGACATCCACTCCATCAATCGCAACCATGCAGTACTCCATCGTCACTCTCCTTGCCGTTGTCGCCGCCGTCCAGGCCGCTTCTGTTGGCTCCAGGCACAACAGTACGTCCTCGAAACATTCCCAGGGGGGTCGCCATGTTGCACAGTCAAACTAACAGATCAAACAGGGCTCGTGCCTCGCCAGGCCTCCACCGTCGACGTCTCGGCGCCTGCCATGGCCGACGCCAACGGCAACATTGTGCCCTTCAACGCGGCGGAAGTCGTCGTCGAGCCTGCCGCGGCCCGGTAGATGCACAATCTGGGGCGACGAGAACGAAACCCCACGTGCACGGGATTCGGCAAGGAAACGAAGTAAGCTGTGTACTACTGGCAGGACCTTATTCAATGAGCGTATTTTTTGGAAAGCGGGACGAACCCCCTGTGAGAGGGAATAGGTGACGACGTGATCATTTTCTCGTCACCTGGGCAGACAAGTTATTATCTAAATTGAACGCGGCGATGTGCCGACTGGCCCACCACTTTTTTGCACTGTCGCAGCGTGATGAACCAGGCTGTTCGTGTTACTAGCCCTGCTTGATATGGTGTTGGGGGCGTGTTGGTGATGGCGAGCATCAGCTGCTTCGTCGCTGCGAGATGAAGTGAGAGGAAACATCGATGGTGGTGTATGTGCTCGCATTGACGGTTGGCTGCATGCTTGGCCTGGAGTGTTGGTCTTTGACTTGGCATGCCGAGACCAGGCAGCCTGACCTGTCGCAAATGACTGATCATTGATGCAACAAGGAGACACCGTGAGATGAGAACAAGATGAAGACGCCGTGAAATAGGGACAAGGGAATGGGCATCTCCATGACCCCCAGATGGACAAGTCAACCGACGAAATGTGCTGCTCATGATGAAGCCCCTGAGATGACCATCAACGACGTCAAGCCACATCTCGATTTGCGCCACGTCCACTCGCCACATACACGCCACACGCACTCGCCACAAGTGTCACCCCCCGATGGCTGGACCAATTGGCTTTGGGCTGCACCGAGAGACCCTGGATTTCCAGTCGATCTCCCCAAGCTCCCCTCGACCCCTCTTCCCATCCACAGCCGCTCCACATTGGCACTCCTGGCACTCCATTAAAGCATCATCGAGACGCGCCTCCTTGCTGACCACCTCACCAAGGCGATTCATCATCGCCGCAGGACGTTCCACGACATCCCAGGCATCGAATCGTTGAAGCTCTCGCTGACCTCTCGCAGCTTTGCTTCTGGCAACGTCCGACTCAGCCCACACGCCAGCAAATGCCTCACTGGCGGACAGGAATGACCCGACCGACAGCCAGCAGCTCAGCCCCAGTATGGGAGCTCAAACGCTAGGGCCCCTCTCAGGAACCCGTCACCCAAATTAGCTCCATGCTGGGGCGGATTCTCAATGTGCTCCCCACCCAGTCAGCCCTGTCTTGACGCATGGATCGCTGGAGGCTCCGTTGGCTCCGTGACTTTGTTCACTCGTCTCGTCAGAGCTCTGTCCCCAATGTCGCCTGCACCCTGATGCTGCCAACAAGCCAAGGGTGCTGCCAATTGCAACGAAGCCTGCTCTGACGATCTGGCGACTGAAAGCCCCTGGACGACTCAAGCCGGACCAGCTTACCAGACCGTCGGTCCCGAACAGAATCCTTCAGGAAGAGAGTGGGCTCCTGTCATCTACGGGCGCTTGTCTCCTAGCGAGATGAGACGCTCGAAACGCGCAACAAGATCCTTCCGCAGATGAGTCCAAGGACGAAATGCAGGCTCGAAGAAGAAAGCCGACGACGAGTTCGGAGCCTCGCTCAACGTGATTCCATTCACGGTAGTTTCGGTGGTGGTGGTGGGCTTGTCGGAGCTATCAAGAATGCTCACTGGCGACTAAGCGAACTCAGCCCCAAGCCACCTAGGCGCACTGCCAAATACCAACACGCTCAGCTCGTCACATCTGCAAACCATCGTGAGTCGGCCAACAGACACCAACCACGAGCTTGGACGACCCGCTTGTCTCCGCCTCCCCGAACCGGCCATTGGGTAATTTCCCACTCCAGTCCTGATCCCAGCATGCGGCGCCCAGTGCAATGGATGAACAGGGCAGAGCAAATCCAGTCATCGTGGCTGCCGCATCTCACCGCTCGCCCGTCTGGTTGCCTGCTTGATGGTCATCCCTGGGCAGCGCATGTAGGAAGTTTCGGGCATGAGGGCTTGAAGGCTCGGAGGCTGAGCGATCCAGGACCCTGGCGCACGCCGTCCAAACCATCATTTTGCCTTCTCCTTCTAGGCTTCTAGGGCCCCTTGGCTCTTAAGGCTACGTGGGGTCTCATCCCGTCATTGTGAGGTAGTCTTTATATAGCTTGACGCGGCATCTGTGCAGTGCTGGTCCACCCCCCCTACGGCTCGACCCAACGGCGAACTTCACAGCCACATCCCGACTCCGCTGTTCTCATCCCCGCTAGCGTCGTGCCGAGTACCGGTGCATATGTTGTCCATCTAGGACGTTTCTAGGACGGACTGCGACTTATAACAGACTCGAAAGCCCCCAACTGGGGCCGCTCCTTGGGGCCAAAACTGCAAGCAGCCGCCAGAACGAACTGAGACACCTGAGGCCGGACCTCTGGACACTGGAGACCGAAGACTGAGACCCGCGACACAACAAACATGGTTCTACACCGGCAACAGGCCCAGTTTGGGCGGGCAAAGTGGCGCATGGCCATCTTGCTGCCGTGCTGGGTCTTACAGATATCTCTGCTCCTGGCGACCATTGGACTATTTTCGTGGAGACTGGCCCATTCTGTTCGAGAGTACGAGGAAGATAAGAAGAAGGGCGGAAATGTTCCAGCCACGGAGCTAGTGTGCGTCTCGACACCCAGCCGCTACTCGCCGTGTATTTTGACTAACAAGGTGCAGATGGAAGATCACCAATCTCGGCCTGCCGCTCATCGTTCTCATCCTCACACTGATCGAGTTCGTCAAGCTCGGCGCGGAGACGCTTACACCATGGACTATGGTGGCGACCAATGTTGTCAAAACGGTTTGCGCCTGTGGCGGTATGTCCGTCGATGTGGTCATGTACACTCAGAGAAAGGACCGCCACTACAGCTTGGTTGGCCTTGTCATGGACTCTATCCTGATGTAAGCAGACCTCTTTTCTTACCATTTGCTTTTCTTGCCTAACAGCTCAGCGTCGCCATCCTGATACCGACGATTTACTCCATCATGACCTATCGTCGCCTGGCTTCCTTTGACGATTACCACTATCCCGTCAACATTAAGGCATATGGCTACAACGACCTGGAGAACCAGCAGCGAACGGCTTCGAAGAGCGGTCGCCTGTCCATTGCTTCCCTGGGCGAGAGCTCCTTGCGCCGCTTCTCCGGCTCGTCGATTCACAACCCTGCTGCCGTTTACCAGAGCCAAACCGAAGCCCCGGCATCTTTGACTTCCATCGGTCGCGCCGGGTCTTCTTACAACAATGAGCGAGATACACAGTTCGAGCAATACATGATGGAGCGAGAGCGCCGCATGTCCGGCGAGCACGCTTACAAAGGGGCGGTTGATGCGGTGCCTTCGCCACACCGCAGCGTCAGCAGTGCGAGTTCCGTCTCGAGCTCCAGCACCGGTGTCATTGTTACTGGTGGGACGCTGGATAGCGCCCGACCTCTGAGCGACTCGATAGGCCGCGCCCCGAGCTGGGGCAGCTCGCACGGCTGGTGGCCGTGCCAGAGCTGGGACGAATACGACGAGGAAGAGCACCACGCCCAGACACAGCACCAGCATCATCGAAGGCAGTCCCCATCGCCAAAGCGGTGACAAGGGGCGCTGCTGGGTCATCACAGGCAGCGCACCAGCAGTGATCCGCAATGGCCGCAGCAAGCAGCAGCGCCCGCCCGTGCCAACGATTGAGTTTGAAGACCTGAGCTATACGGAGAGAAAGGGTTAGTTGGACCTATGGAGGGGTTGTGTGGGGAGGCTTGCTGTTTTGGTTACGTTGGTGATGGATATACCCCATTTCTTTCTCTCGTTTCAACAATACTTTCATCTCTTTCGCTTCACGACAACATTTACAACATCATTTGGGTTCCGTTTACGAAGAGCGTTATCGAGGTTATACTTGTCCCTTTGGATCGGCGTTAGGATCAATACGTGACATTCTTCTTGGCTTCAAAGTGTTTCTTCTTGCTCATTACTGAATACATACAATTGTACATGAGGCATTTCCATCGCTTCTCCCTGGCTGCGGACGATGATTGATCAAGTGTTTCCGCCAAGGCGCTGCGCCTCGAGCGGTGCCTAACACGAAGACACGTGGGGACGATACGTGAGGCCATGGGATGTATGTCGGTCGATGTTTTAGAGTGAAGGCTGCGTAGCTGCTCCGTCAATCGGCTAAGATGGAGATGCGTTAGTGTTAAGGTTCATTCCATGTTACCCAACGTGCTGCGGCGCCATCCCCGAGCCTCACTGACGAAAGGGGGGATCGCCATGGCGAAGCAGCAATGGTGACCTTCCTGCGAGCCTGATACGGTTCTTGGCTACAGTCCGGCTGCATGTGCAGTTTTATTTTTAGTGTGGCCGGTGTGAGCGCTTCTGTTGTGCGATCACCTTCATCGACTCGTGGGACTCGGAGAATGGTGCGATAGCTAGCATTGACGAAATTCGAAGAGATGACCGATCACACTGTTCTCAATGACAATTTTTTTCTGAGTGGCCATCTTTTTCTAGATGGCATTTCTTTTTTAAATGACATTTCTCTTCCTCCTCCTGGACAAAACCGCAAAGACACAGGAAGGCAAGAGTCACACTCATTTCAGCATGGAAAGTT